ACTTTGAAAACGGGTTTAGTGTTCTACCATTTACTTAATTGTTCTTCCTCCGAGAGATACTTAACATGTCTTTGGGACAGGACGATATCCGTGATGTGTTGTACATTTCAGTGTTATGTCAGGGAAATGTACTTTATACCTGCTGGTTGTTGAGTTACACTGTTCATTTGCATCTATTGTGGCCTGTGAAAGATAAAACAAGCAGTAAATACATGGGCAGAAAGCTCAACACGCTTGGACACTTGGACTGGAATGAAAGCCCGATTCATTCTTAGTCCCTTATTTATCAGGGGTCGCCATGGTGGAATGAACCACCAACTATTTCTGCATATGTTTTATGCAGCGGATGCCTTTCAAGCCGCAACCCAGTACTGGGAAACACCCATAGACTCGCTCATCCACTATGGCCAATTTTGTTTACCTAATTCGCCTATAGCGCATGTCTTTGGACTGTGGGGGAAACCGGAGCACCTGGAGGAAACCCACACCAACACGGAGAGAACATGCAAACTCCACACAGAAATTCCAACTGGCCCAGCCGGGACTCAAACCTGAGACTGAGACGGGACTAAGCCACCGTGCCACCTATATGGAGAACATTTTTAATGACCTTATTGTCATTTTAGATCTCCAACAAAACATACCTGCAACAATTTACATTACACACAAAAAATGTAGTCTGAGAAACATAATTCCATTAAGCCTGGACAGGGTTTAGTGGTCTTTGTGAAGAAAAGCATTATTATTTTTATTGTTAAATAAAAAACGGTCAAAAGTTTAGAATAGAAAGTGTTTTAAAGGGTTTTCTGCTCACCAAGGCTGCATTTACATATCCGAAATACAAAAATAAAAACAGTAATATTGAGAATATATATATACTGTATAAACGACTTCTTTCAAATTTGAGATATACATATTGTGATGCGGTGGCGCAGTAGGTAGTGCTGTCGCCCTACAGCAAGAAGGACGCTGATTCGAGCCTCGGCTAGATCAGTTGGCGTTTCTGTGTGGAGTTTGCATGTTCTTCTGGTACAGGTAAAATGGGAAAGCTAAATTGTTCGTAGTGTATGAGTGTGAATGAGTGTGTATGGATGTTTCCCAGAGATGGGTTGCGGCTGGAGGGGCATCCACTACGTAAAAAAATGTGCTGGATAGGTTACCGGATCATTTTGCTGCGCCGAACCCCAGATTGATAAAGGGACTAAGCTGAAAAGAAAATGAATGAATCAGAATCAGAAGGAAAGAACCAAACAAAACTGTTAAATATATATATAATTATATATATATATATATATATATATATATATATATATATATATATATATATATATATATATATATATATGTTTAACAGTTCTGTCTGGTTCTTGAATCTGATTGGCTGATAGCCATGTGATTCTGCCAGTGAAAGCACTCGACCAGCATCTTCACCCTTCACCCTTGTGTATTACTCCACCCACATACAGCAACAAGAAGAGGACACTCTACAGTTTGACAAATAATATTTCTTTTGTTGGACAACATTATGTACTTTTGAGGCTTTTTTAGTCTTTTAGTTGTTTAGATTCCAACTATGCAGTTTATTTATAAGGATAGTGCCTATTTTTAAATATTTAAATGCGTCGACGGCCATTAGCCTGTCTTTGAGCAAAAATGGTTGATGTTGTTCATCCACAAGATGGCGACAGGATCGCTAAATAAGCCCTAAAAAGACTAAAACATAATTTCTAACTACTGCTGATTAAATCATTATTATACTGTTAAGTGACAATTTAAGTCTATCTCTCTCTTTTGTATGTTGTAATGCTGTTTTTATACCATATAATTGTAGTGTATTAGGTGTGAGATGGGACTCATCAGAAATGCGTGTTGTGTTGGCAGAAAGAAAGAAGAAATGCCCGCATGTGTTTAGCGTTTTTCCTTATCGCAAACACAACAGTAATCTGGTAGTGTTTGCGCTGCTTTTTTCCCTATTATTTATTGTGATATCCTGATTGCAACAGAGAAATACTGGGAAATCTCTGTAGACTGATGGCATTTCATGCCGTTCAGCTTTATAATCCTAAAATGTGAGCAAAATCACCTGTCATCACTTTAGACATTACGCTAGAGAATCATTCACTTACTAGCTCTAAAGTGACGTGTTTTTAAGCAACGGTTTCTGCTGTTCTGACGTCAGCTACAGATGTACAAAAGGGTTTTTAGACTCTCAGTGTTAGATTTTCTTTTTTAAATACAAGATTATGCTGTCGAACTGTCGTATAAACACAATAGTACACTCATAGCAGTGCAATATGACTATATCGTCACAGGTGGGACACTAATGCTGTATTGACACTAGACGTGGAAGAAGTGTCAAGCATGTTAAGTCAATTACATGTAAAGTCAATTCAAAGCCGCGATAAGACATCCTGCGGCATGATATGCGCAAATAATGCGAATGGTGTGGCAAGAACGGCGTGATACACGCGAATGATGTGGAGCGAATTAAGTGTTTTGCACATTTGACGCGCTTAACATGTGAATCAGGCGAACCGATCAAGTTGGAAAATCTGAACTTCAGCGGACATTCACGCTACGTTAACCAATCAGGAGCTTGCTCTTGTGGGGACATGATTATGACGTACCGCCTGTTGTCCCTGTTGTCCCGGGGGAAGTCCTCCTGCACACTCCGACAACAGTTCATCAAACTGGGCTCGGCTCAGTCAGAGGCACCGCTAAAAGCCTCCATCACCCAGGTTAAGTTTCTGGAGGAGTTTTTGAACTCACAGAGCTGGGCGCACATCTGAAAGGATCGAGTGGACTCAGACACAGCTCCAAACGAATCAACGCTGTTTTTCAGCCTTCATAAAGCACATAAACACAGCTATTTTCTCAATAAAATCCGTGCTAGCCATTTAGCAACGAAGCTAGACTCACTGGTCAGACAGAAGCTCTACCCATCACGGGAATCTGTGGCTGTTGGAAAGTGAATTTGACGTGCAAATGAAGTGGATTTGACGCGCGAATGAAGCGAGTAAACTCAAATGTTATCGCGATTGATCCACATGTGAACACAGCATAAGGCAACACATACGCATGCATGCTTCCTACCTCCCACCATATCGTACTGCTACTTTTATGATATTGCTAATATATATATATATATATATATATATATATATATATATATATATATATATATATATATATATATATATATATATATATATATATACATACAGGGCTTTACATTAACTTTTTCAATCACTGGCCACAGTGGCTAGTAGTTTTCCAATGTTACTAGCCACACTGCATTTTCATTAGCCACAATTTTGTTGCTGCGAAAATATATTTTATATGCATAAATTTGACGTTGACATGCTAAAATTACTTGAATTAAATTTTGTGTTATGTCCACATGCGTCCTCATTCCTTTTACTTTTTGTGTGTCGAGTATGAGTTTGCTTAATATGCATAAGCAAATGGGTGATGGTTTCATAGTGTTATATTGCAATTAGTTTTTATTTCACATGATTTTTTAGAGCTCAAAATTAACGATTTACCAAATTTATCTCTATAACCACACTAAACAATTATTATTTTTTAGCCACAAGTTTTTAATGTGTCAAAACAAGCAAAATATAGCTGTATACTATACTTTCTATTTAACAAATCATTTCTTAAAATAGAAAGAACAGCAATTGACTTTTAAACAATAACTATTGTCATGTATTAAAAATATGCACAGTAATCTGTCGTGGCTAAAGATCTCTCGGATCACCAGTTAACTGCACATAAATGGAGAGTTCATCTCCCATTAAAGCAATATTGTAAAAAACAATAAATAAATTAACCATTTTAACAAAAATGAAAGCAAATAAAATCATAAGCAAATGAAAGCAGGTGAAACATACCGTGTGTAATAATGAAAGGATGATAACATGCACGCGGTTAACTTTAGGCAATTTAATAATCTGTTCAAAGTGAAAGCAATCGGTGCTGCTTACAAAAAGACAAAGTTTGAGCTCTTAAAAGCATCAGGACTATGGGTGCATGTTCATCACTTTTTGTCTAGTTTATTTGAAAAAGAACCGATGACAGTTGCGTTTCCAGAACCTGTTCCAGACACGTTTGCTTTACGATTCGGGAGCGCGCACGCGTTTTAGGAAGTCGCGCGCATCATATCAGCTGTTAGCACGAGTGATGATCATTCTCTCATCAGGTTTTACTTGCTTTCTTCTGCTCGCGTGATCACAATTATTTTACTTCTCGATTCTAAGATCACATTTGCACGCATATTGGGTCATCCTTATATTGTGGAAACCTGCTTTTAGGAAAACTACAATTTCAAAATTATTTTCAACCAGCCAAAGTGGCTAGTGGGATTGTTTGTCTAACCTGCCAAAGCTGAAATCTACCTGCATTTGGCAGGTGTTAATGTAAAGCCCTGTGTGTGTGTGTGTGTGTGTATATATATATATATATATATATATATATATATATATATATATATATATATATATATATATATATATATATATATATATATATATATAAATAATTAAAAAAAAATAATTGTTGCTTTTCAGCATTGATCATATATACTGTACAGTAGGAACCATAATTAATTGGGCCTTAACAGTAACACATTGGCAAGCAAGCACCCAGCAATCATTTTAGGCAGTGCGAATGTATTTAATTGCTTTGTTCCATTTTTGCTACTTTTGGAGTTGAATATTGTAGAGGAAATATTTTCAGAACGAGTACTGGACTTATATACAGATCATACTAGAATTCAATTAGTTGTTTTTTGCTTTAATGACGAGGTTTAAAAAAAAGGTCACCATATTGTGTTTCATTTGTTTCATTTGTTTTGTTTGTTTGTTCACCTCCTCTCTGTCCTTCCTGCATTCGTCATCTACTCTCTGTCTGTCTTCACCACACCTGTCTCACCCGAACACCTGTCTGCTTTGCATGGACGCTTTCCTGTGTCTTCTGGCTTTCCATTCTCTCTAAAGAAGGGCATCTGTCCTCTACGCATCTTTCTCCCTCTGTCGCTCCTGCTCCAGAAACACTCCGTCAGAGAAAGAGTAAGTATTTCTCACTCAGCTCATTATATTTGTGTGTGTGTGTGTGTGTTTGTGTGTTTCATTTTTGTTCTGTAATTGTGATATGTTTCTGTTCATCAAGAGCGCATTGGTTTATTTGGCAAACTGAAGCAACTTCTCTTACTTCAGATTTTCAAAGAAACCATTTATTTTTTATGTTATTTTATGTGAATCCAGTCGGGATCAGTCCACAGAATTCCCCAGATGCTGCGGGGACTCTGGCACATCAGCTGTGATTTGTTTATGTAGCATAACTATATTGATTGACGACATTGTGTTGAGGGTGAGGTCATTTTGTGGCTCAAATACTGTACGACAAAAGCTAAAAAAAGTCAACATGAAATGGCATTCAGGATGAACAGGATTGTTAGTGATAATAAACAAAGCACTTTCATCCGTTTGGAATTTTAAAAAGTTGGCGTGCCTAACCTGAATTGAGTCACCTGATTGGTTGTTAGCCAAAGGCTGATTTATACTTCTGCATCGAGTGATCGGCATGACCCACAGCGCCTGCCTTGCACGTAATCCTGCATTTGTAGTTCTGCGTGCTGTTTGTGTTGCTCTGCAATGACACTTCCGAAATGCTAGCTGGCAACAGGTTTTTATGTTCCCAACATAAGCTCAAACAAAACAAAAACAAAACCAAAACAATAAAAAACAAAAAAAAAGTAGCACCTGGAATGTATTTTGCGCTCTCCAGATATGTATATAGCGTTACATTTTCAGAATGAGCTTGGGTTGTATGTTCCGCTGCGTCGAGTTTCTTCGTGGGTGTTTTGAAGCGGGAACTGGCGGACGTGCAGCAGCTTTAATCATAAGGTAAACACAAAACAAAACTTTCCATCTGGAGCTCCTTCACGGGACTTGACACTTGTAAACACTCACTCTATCGCGCTTGTAGCTCTCTGCCCCGCCCACCCTCATCAGCGATACCAAGCCGACCAATCACAGAGCTTGTGCTATGCATCATTGTGACGTGTAGTTACATTTTTTGAGAGGTGCGCATCAGTGTCAACGTCAGCCAAGGCGAGGGCTATGCGACCGCGCAAAGGATGTGCTGAAGCATACATGTGAGCTTGATGCAGAAGTATAAGGGGCCTTGCGTTTTTACGGAACGGAAAAGTGCATTCGGTATGATATCGGTATGATATAAATCTTAAATCAGCCGTAAGAGGTCTTGAGTTCTTTGATACATGAGAAATTAAAGGCGCAGTATGTAAATAATATATATTTATTCAAATATCCAAATAATGCTCACCTAGCAACCACTCAGAATATTCTGGCAACTGCCTAGCAACATCTTAGCCACCGCCTAGCAACACCTTAAGAACAACCTAGTTTTAAAAAATGTTCACCTAGAAACCACTCAGAGCACTCTAGCAACCACCTAGCAACACCTTAGCAACCACCTAGCGACCATTCAGAACACCCTGGCAAGCGCCTAGCAACCACTCAAAACACCCTGGCAATCAGCTAGCAATGCCTAAGAACACCATAGAAATTACCTAGCAATGTAACCACCTAATTTTGAAAAATGTTCAACCAGCTAGCAACGCCTTAGCAACCACTTAGAACACCCCAGCAACCACCCAGCAATGCCTTAGCAACCACCCAGTTTTGAAGAACGTTCATCTAGCAACCACTCAGAACACTCTAGAAACCACCTAGCAACACCTAAGCAACCACCTAGCGACCATTCAGAACACACTAGCAACTGCCTAGCAGTCACTCAGAACACCCTAGCAATCACCCAGAACAACCACCTAGTTTTGAAGAATGTTCATTTAGCAACCACTCAAAACACCCTAGCAACCACCTAGCAATCACTCAGAACACCTTAACAAGCAAGCAATTATAACAGTAATGCATTTGTACCCCAGAGATTTGCTACTGTAAACCCCACTCAAAGTTTCTTCAGGAAATGTACATACTGTATCTACAGCAGCTTAAACTATTATGTTTAAAAATGTGTTGAAAAAATCTCTCTGTTAAATCAGGGAAAAACTAACGGGGGGGGGGGGGGGGGGTGGGTGGGTGTAGGGGGGGATAATTCTGACTTCAGCTGTATATATGTTGATTTTCATGTTGACTTTCATAAAAACACATAGCCATTTACAATACTGATTGAATGATTGGATTTACGAGCAGATCATCTGTTAAAGCGCCGTCCTCCGACATGAGTCTGCGAAGTGACTCACACTGCAATGAATGAATATAAAGGTGTGCAAACAGTGGGCAGCCGTATTGACCTGGTGCTGCCGTCGGCCTACGCCACATCATTCCTCACTATCACAGCTATTGTGAACATCCTGATCCACTTTTGTTCTGCTCATATTCAGGCATAAGTTCTTCTGTTTGCTTTTGTTTAAGTGATATCAATGGGATTTCTAGCTATCAGTCTTAAATGAAGATTTCCATGACAAGGTTGAAGGTAATGCATGGTGTGTTTGAGCGGTCTAACTATATCTGATGATTTATTTACTATAATATAAGGTAAAGCTGTGTATAAATTGGTACAATATTCAGATTTGTGTTTTGATATCATTAGCACGTTCATTATCTGCTTTCTTTGTTTATTTTCCCCCCAAATGGCTGAAATGGTTATGTTTATTCAGGGGAACCTATGTTGTTGCCAAGTAAATTCAAAACATCAGTGTTACAAAGTACTGTGTATGTACACTAACCGGCCACTTTATTAGGTACACCTTACTAGTACTGGTTTGCCTTCAGAACTGCCAACAGTTTCAACAGGGTACTGGAAATATTCCTGAGATTTTGGTCCATATTGACATGATAGCATCACACAGTTGCTGCAGATTTGTTCCACAAATCCCAAAGGTGCTCTATTGGATTGAGTTCTGGTGACTGTGGAGGCCATTTGAGTACAGTGAACTCACTGTCATGTTTAAGAAACCAGTCTGAGATGATCAGTCAGAGATTGACGGCAAATTCTGACCCTACCGTTCAAATGTCACAGCAAAAATCAAGACTCATCAGACCAGGCAACATTTTTACAATCTTCTATTGTCCAATTTTGGTGAGCCTGTGTAAATTGTAGCCTCAGTTTTCAGTTCTTAGCTGACAGGAGTGGCACCCGATGTGGTCTTCTGCTGCTGTAGCCCATCCGCCTCAAGGTTGGACGTGTTGTGTGTTCAGAGATGCTTTTCTGCCGACCTCGGTTGTAAGGTTATTTGAGTTACTGTTGCCTTTCAATCAGCTCAAACCAGTCTGGCCATTTATCTTTTTCGGACTATTCTCTGTAAACCCTAGAGTTGGTTGTGCGTGAAAGTCTCAGTAGATCAGCAGTTTCTGAAATACTCAGACCACCCCATCTGGCTCCAACAACCATGCCACGTTCAAAGTCACTAAAATCCCCTTTCTTCCTCATTCTGATACTCTGTTTGAACTAAATTGAATTGCATTGAGTTGCTGCCATGTGACTGACTAATTAGAAATTTGAGTTGACGAGCAGTTGGACAGGTGTACCTAATAAAGTGGCCGGTGAGTATATGTTATAATGCAAATATACTTTAAATATACTATAATATATGAAGACTGACACATGTTAAAGAGATAGTTCACCCAAAAATCATAATGTATACATTATTTAGAAGATATTTTGAAGAAAGCTGAAAACCTGTAGCCACCATGGTAGGAAAAAAAAACTAATTCTATGAATGTCAATGGTTACAGGTTTCCAGCTTTCTTCAAAATGTCTTTTTTTTCACAGGTTTGTGACCACTGAAGGGAGAGTAAATGATGACCGAATTTTCAGATTTGGGTGAACTATCTCTTTAATGTTGCAATGTTGTTGTTAGAAGTAAATAATTAAACTCTAATGGCGTGCATTTATGTCTTGCTTGTAGGGTTTGAGTATTAATATTACATTACGCAGATTACCCATATTGTCATCAATCTAATTTGACTATACCTTCTATAAAGTTACAAATTAATTGGTTCCAAAGAATGGTTGCATACATGTACAGTACATTTGAAAGATGATAAACATATCAATTTTGTTATTGTATCTGCAGCAGAGTTTAAAATTTACATCTATATATAATGGAAATGTAGAATATGTATATCCGTAACTCAGAGTATATACGGTTGAAGATTATTATCATTATTAGCTCTCTTGTGAAATTAATTCTCTTTAATGGAGAGATTTTAAACACATTTTTAAACATAATAGTTTTAATAACTAATTTCTTTTATCTTTGCTAGTTATTGCAAACTATTTATTGTGTTTTTTTTGCTAGTTGTTGTGCAAGACAATAGGATTCTGCTTCAAGTGCAATTTAAGAGCCTAACTAGGTTACTTAGGAAAGTTAGGTTCATAAAGTTCTGTAGCTAAACATATATATATATATTAATATATATATATATATTAATATATATATATATTAATATATATCACTGGCCACTTTATTAGGCATACCTTACTATTATCGGGTTGGACCCCCTTTTGCCTTCAGAATTGCCTTTAATCCTTCGTAGCATGGATTCAACAAGGTACTGGAAATATTCCCCAGAGATTTATGGTCCATATTGACATGATAGCATCACGCAGTTGCGGAAGATTTGCCAGCTGCACAGCCATAATGCGAATCTCCCATTCCACCACATCCCAAAGATGCTCTACTGGATTGAGATCTGGTGACTGTGGAGGCCATTTGAGTACAGTGAACTCATTGTCATGTTCAAGAAACCAGTCTGAGATGATTCGTACTTTATGACATGGCACGTTATGCTGCTGGAAGTAGACATCAGAAGATGGCTACACTGTGGTCATAAAGGGTTGGACATGGGCAGCAGCAATACTCAGGTAGGCTGTGGCGTTGACCTGATGCTGAATTGGTACTAATGGGCCCAAAGTGTGCCAAGAAAATATCCCCCACCACCATTACACCACCACCACCAGCCTGAACCGTTGATACAAGCAGCATGGATCCATGCTTTCATGTTGTTGACACCAAATTCTG